TATTGGTGGCTTCCCAGCTGGCATTTCTACCACCCTGTCTTGCAAGTGATAGAAGTGAGATCAGAGAGAGGTAGCAATTTAGTGAGGTCACACAGCCTCACCTATAGAATGGGCTGCTGCAAAGGGACTAGGCTGTTCTTATTGTGACCCAGGGGGTTCAGAGTGGTCTCCTGTACATTGTGGTCACCTACATCCAGACCTGGAAACTGCATAGTGGGATCAGACGGTCAGGGCTGGGGGCTGAGAGCTTAGGGAACCAGCCCATGGTTTGTGGGACCAATTCATCTGATTACAAAGTTCATGTGATTGTCTTCACCAAGAAAATAATTGAAGGTGGCTCTGGGTTCCCCATGTAGGATCTGGCGCCAATGCCTGGTGGCTCCATTGGCGCCTTGAGCCTTGGGCATTTGCTAATGGACTGTGGCTGATCCTGGGACTGATTGGCAGCCAGCCCTAAGATCCTCAGGGTAAACCTGCAAATTGTGGTCTTTAGTCTGGAGACACTATTCTTTCTGGGAGCCATCACGGGGGCTTCTAGCTGGCCCAAGAGAGACGTGCTTCAGAACCCATAGGGTGAGACAGAGGGGCGATGAACTGATGCCCTTTCCCCCTCAAACACCTGGATGGACCAGGAGGTGAGGCTCCCAGATAGTACAATACTAAAAGCTGTCAACACAGTCCATTCCCTTATCTCTTCTTCCTGTTGTCTCCCTCTCCTGCTGTCCTGGGTGGCCAACATCATACCCCCATGCCAGCCAGAGTGGTAGTGGGGGCAATAAGTGTGCTTGAAGGTGTTCTTGAATAACACATTGCGGTGGATGACCCTGAGACAAGCTTCCCAAGGGATTCTGGGATCAGTACTCTCAGAAAAGAGAAGAGGGGAATACACTCTTGTGGAGATCTCTGGGGGCTGAGGGTTCCTCTGCTGTCTGAGAAAGGTTTCTAGGGCCCAAGAACAGCACAAGAACAGCACAAGCAAAGGCACAGAGGCATGCAGGGGATAGCATAGAGGTAGAACATTGTTCTCTGTCCTCTGTCTAGGATGCCTGCCCTTTACTCCCCTGTTTAGAAATGTCCCTACATCTCCCAGACAGTACAAATCTTCTACTCCTTCTGCAACACTGTCACTAGTCCCCATGGAATTCATAGACTATTTATTGATTATTGCTGAGAGACAGGTGAACTAGAGGGGCAAGCTTTGAAAGCAATGCAAAAATCTCAGACCTTAACTGGTTGGCAGTAGGAATCCATGGAGGGTTTTGAAGGGAGGACAGGAAAGAGGAAACTAGAGTCTGCCCAGAGTCATGGCTTTCTTAAGCACAGGCAGGGCAAAAGGCAAATATTGAAGCACACGCATCTGACCTTTTTCTAGGACACCCAATATTTATGCACTTTGCGCATCACCCAAATTTTATTCATTTACCCAAAAGAGTGTGAAAAAGGCGCTTTAGGAAACTGCTATAAATCCAGTGCAAGTCACCATGGTAACCTGATTAGCAGCTAAATTAAGTTCATGATTAAGAAGAAATAAATAAAAATAACTCTCCTCCTTGGCTGGGGCTACCCACTGGGCCACTGGCAGCTGAGCAGATGCTGAAGCCTTGTAAAGCAAGGCTAAGAGCTGAGTCTGAGCCCCCACCGAAGAGTTGGGGGGATGGGAGGGATTGAGTTGCTGCAGGGAAGCTGAGAGGCCCCTTTGTTAACACTGCCTGGGAAGTGGGGGTCGAGGCCCCTAGTGGACAAACCAGGGAGTGCAAACTGTGTGTCTGAAGGCCCACGCAAGAGCTTTCATGAAGGCTGTGTGCCCTCCACGTCTTCCTGGTGTCCTGGACCAGCTTTCCTTTATCTGATTATCCTGTCCACATGTTGTCACCCTTCCTGTGCCAGGTCCCTATGTGCTGCCTACTAGGAACTCTGAGATGATTTTGGTACTAGAAAGGGGCTGAGTTTGGAAGTGGACACAGATATAATAGTGTACATAAGTGCTATGGAAACATGGGCCAACCTGGGAGGCTTCCTGGAGGAAGTGATGTCCAAGAAAAAGACATGTGGCTGCCGAAGAGTGCCTATTCCAGGTGAGCATTCTGGGCCATCTTCTTAGAGCTGACATTGGCCCTGGAGAGACTAAAAGGACCTTCTTGGGAACTGTGGTATTTGTGTATCCCAGGGATGAGCAGGAGGGAAGACAGGTGCAAAGAGGGAAAGGAGCTTCCCTTGTACCCTCTCCAAGCCTCCTCCTGACCACAGCAGTTAGAGCAGTGGCTAGGGGCAAACAGGCTTTGAATCCTCTTTTTTGCCACTTGCTAGAGGTGGCCTCTGGCACAAGATGTAATTTGTTTTAGCCTCGTCCTCACTGCCTGTAACACAAAGTGATTGTGAAAGCAGTACCTACCTCACAAGGTTCTTGTGGAGGACTCAGTGAGGTGATGCAAACTAAAGGACAGACACTAATTTGTTACCTGGAGAAGTCTGCCTCAGCTGGGTGGAAGAAGGACCAGGGGGTGGCCATGAATTACACTGCTTAAATCTCCTTCAAGAGACATTGCTGTGGGGTGTGCAGTAGATGGACACCCCAGCTGCCACCCTCTGGCTCCATCAGTGTGTTCCAGCTGAGCTTGGGCTTCCTCCCAGTTGCTTCCAGCCAACTGAACATAAGAGCAGGAGGGTGGTGCTAGGGCTGACCTCATTCCTTCAAGATGTGGGACTCCCAACAGGCAACTTTGGCCTGGGGACTCCCCGGGCTGCAACCTTCCTGAAGCAGAGCTTCAGCCCAAGACTTTTTTCCCTTCTCTCCAATAATAGGTGGGAACCCTGCACTGTGGTCTGAAGGCTCTCATTGCTTTTTCTCGCTCCTCCCTCTTATCCTTCCTGGGAACTCCCCCAACAAACCTTCCCTGAGAAATTCCACATTGGCTTATGCTTCCCAGAAGACCAAAAATGTTACCAAGGGTCTCTGAGGAAGAGTCTCACAGCTGGCTGGTAGTAGAGGTGGAAATTAGACCCAATGGCAGGTCATACTTACAGGTGCGAGAGGTGCGAGAGTCAGGGCCTCTGAAGACTCTGGGGAAGAAATGACAGTATGTGTGTGTGTGTGTGTGTGTGTGTGTGTGTGTGTGTGTGTCTCCCTCTGCCCTGTCCTCTTCTGTCCTCTCGTGTATGTGTGTGTGTGTGTTCCTATGTGTGCATAGCCCTTGAGCATGCTCCCATCGCTGCCCTGACCATAGTGTAGTGAAAAAAATCTGTTCCCATCAGAAGATGAACCCTTCGGTTTCTGTTCTGACACTTAGTCCTGCAGAAGTTTTGGGGCACTAGAGATGCTCAGTCAACAAACAAATAAGTAAACAAAACAACGACAACAAAGAAAAACTGAGCACCACTGGGACTTGTTTCTATCTTAAGTTTTTCTTTGAACCAATTCTGGTTTCATTCTCTGATATTTCGAATTACATCACATTAGCTTATTTAAATTTTTAACCCTGTCTTTGCAGTGTCTTTATTCCATGCCTTTTCTTTTTCTTTTTCTTTTTTTTTTCGAGAGGTTTTTGCTATAGGACATGTGTGCTCGCCAGAAAGACAGAGAGAGACAGAGAGACAGAAAGCGAGAAATCACCCCCCAGGGGGATAGCCACACTGCAATTGCTTCTTCTCCATTCTCCTCTCAGGATCTTGAGCATGTACACACACATACCCAATGTGAGTTTAACCTGCTGGGTCTGGGACTTGAACCACAGTCGACAACGTGGGAGTCCAGCAATGTAACCATTACGCCATCTGCTGGTTCCCATGTCTTTTCTTAGACTGGTCCTGCTACTGGATCTCCTGGTATTTCTGTGTTTGACGCATTTTTGCTGAACCTTCAAAATCTTAGTCAGGTGTCATCTTCTTTCTGTAGCTTTATCTACTACTCACATCCCCCTTCCCTTCAATGAAACTGAGAGCATATTTGCTTGGGACCTACCAGCATTGCTGCTACACTACCACGGAATACCTTTCCAGTTGCAATGGGAGGGTTTGTAATTTCCTTGGTGGGGGGTGTCTCTGTCTGTCACACAGAGATGTAGGACACATGCCAGCAGACCCTTTGTCTGCCCCCTTGTCTTCACAGAGCCTTCTGCCATCCCTTTCTAGAAAGGAGCTTGAGTTTCTCAGCTTAATACGGCTGGATGAATCTTCTCTGGTCCTCTGCTCCCCCCCTCCCACCTCCGGCTCCCAGCTCCTTCCCCCAATCTCTTCATCCCTCCACAAGATCAGGGAGGCTGCAAACCCAACCCTTACATCAAAAGAGAACTTGAAAAATACTTGGAGCAAAAACTGCTAACTGTGCATCCTTGCTCTGAGCTGGCGCTGATATTAAATCAGGAAATGGCACTGAACAGCCGCTCCAAACACAGAAACAGGGGTTGTCAACACAGAAACCAAAAGCAATCTCTAACGGGCAGAGGTTAAAGGGACCTGGCACAAGGCCGATGGGGGCCTGAAACCCAGGAAAGGATTCGATTCTTGAACTTGGCTTGTCCGTGCCACTCTGCAGTACCCAGAATGGAGCCTGTCTCCCAGTTCCTGGCATCTGAACACTCCTGTCTCCCTGAAGATAAAATATCTCCAATATCTTTGGGAGTCTCCTTTTTCATTTCCATAAATATTTATTGAGCACCTATTATTGTATGACTGTGAACCAAAAGCTGTCTGTCCCTGTTGACATGATCTTCTTTGGTGTGGCCTTCAAGGCCCTTCACGTGGTGGCTCCGGTGCAAACCTCTGCTCTCTCTCCAGCCCCTCTGAAATAGCTTCCCAAGTGCCTAAGGATGTGTCTTTGCTGCACGCCTTTTCTTAACCTGGTCCTACCACCGTGCCTTCTGGTATCCCTGTGTCTGACCAGTTTTTTGCTTAACCTTCAGAACCTTAGTCAAGTGTCATCCCCTTTTTGTAGCCTTGTCTGCCACTCATCCCTCCACCTCCTTTCCCCCAATAAAATCAAAGGCGTATTTGCTTGGGATCACCTGCATTGTGGGTCCATTGCTGTCACAACATCCTTCCAGCTACACGGGGAAGGTTTGCAGTTTCCTAGAGAGGAGGAAAGAAACCACATTCATCCCTGAACCCTCATCTCCCAACTCTGGTGACGGAATTGACATAAATAGAATTGACACACAAATGAAAAACCCTGATAAAATTCATGGTTGGTGTGACGATGGGGGAACAGGTTATCCTCATTTATTCTGATGGGAAATTAAATAGGCACAATCTTGTTAGAGGCTAATTTGACAGTGTTAACATTGAAAATACACATCTTTTAATCCAGCGATTTCATTTTTTGCTTCCTAGAGAAATGCTTGCCCATGTGCAAAAAGCAGCATGTAAAAAGCTGCTAGTTGCAGCATTGTTTGCAATAGTGAAAGATTAGAAATAGCTTAAATGTCCATCAATACAGGACTGGATAAAAAAAAATTACATGACATCTATTGGCTGGAATGCTGTGCATTAGTTAAAAAGGAAGGAGATCTCAATGTATTGACACAGAAATTGCTGAGTGAAAATAAAAGCAAGCTGGAGCTCTAGACATAGATGTTAAAAACTACATTGTTGCATTTTTTTCCTACAATGAGAAAGTGGTCTTATGTATCTTGTATAAAAAGAAGGGAGAAAAAGAGTGGTAGCGGCAGCTCCTGACTGAACTAAGCCTGGGTTTCTGCAAAGCCAAACAGCACCTTTTCCTCCATCAGCTCCAGGCAGCAGGTCCCAGGGCAGTGGGAAGGGGATACTCATGTCTGCTGTGCTTAGTAGTTTGGTCCCAAGCTGTGAAGAGCATGTGATGGGAAGCAGAACCCCCTAGGTGCCTTCAGAGAATCTAGAAAAAGAAGAAGGAAAGTAGGAAAGCCAGTGGGGTGGCTCAGAGCATCCCATTTCTTCTGACCTGGTTTTTAGTGTCAAGACGGAGGAGTGAGGGTTGGTTCAAGAACGATCACTACATAAGGGAGAGGAGGTTGAGAGACGTCACACACGGCATCTGCCTGATCATTAACTTCATTCGTGCGTTCATTTATCTCACAACTGTAATTGTGTTCCTCGGATGTGGGCATTGCAGTGGTTCCTATGGACACAGGGCCACTTCCAACACCTGGGAATTCCCTCCAGGAACTCATGGTCAAGTTCTGTCTACTAGGAATAACGGAAAAGTCATGATACAGTTTTTGCATAGAAAAAAACCGTCACGACTATTCTGACAGCCCAATAGTTTCTCTTAATGTACTTCTCAGTCCCCATGCCTCAGAATTACTCAGGAACTTAGAAAAGTGCAACTTGCTGGTCTCTACTCAGATCCATAAACACAGACTATGGCTCATGAATCTGTGTTTGTATTATGTTTACAAGTGAAAAGCATGTAGATTAGCTGACAACACCCTTTCTAGACCTCCCCTGTGTTACTTCCTAAGGCTTTCCCCAAACCTGAGGTCTCACCTGGTGCAGCTTGAAGAAAGAAGAGATAGTGGTATGAGCCCTGCCGCATAGCTCTGCGGTGATGATTTCCCTAACACGACTAGGACCTTGCTTTGCGGGTAGGCTCTTCTCCCCGCCCCCCTGCCCAGGTACATCCACACCCTATGTGAGGTCTGGGACGATCCACACAGAGCCTCTTCTGCATGTCTTTCAGAAACAAGAGATTGACAGTGGGGCTGGCTTAGGCAAAGGCCCTGTGGCAGAGGCTGGGGGAGAACAATGTACCTGGAACATTGTGAGGGGAGAATGTGATGCGAGATGAGGTTGGAAGGGTTAGCAAGGGTGAATCATTCAGGGCCTGAAGAACAAACCAAGGAGTTCAGTTCTTTTCACCATGTCAAAGGAACTGACATTTAAGGCAAGGGGCAGTTGTGGGTAGGTAGAATGATCAGACTCACATAACATGAAAACTGGCTCTGTTGCCTAGTGGAGAAGCAGAAAGTCAAAAGTCAAAGCTTTTAAAAATAAAAGGTATCTAAGCAAAACATGCAGGTGACTTGGATGAAGGTAAAGGTACTAAATGGAAAAACAGAGTTCTTGAGGTGGAGGGACAGATAGACAGATGATGGTCAGGCTATGGGAGGTGAGGGTCTCAGCCCTGGGGAACATCAGTGAGTCTTCAGAACCTCTAACCCTGGTCCTGGCGGTTGTGGGAAGGGAGCCAGCCTGGTCATCCCTCACTGATCAGTGGCTTTGAGTGGCAGCAAGCTTCTCATCAGTACTGAACCATCCTTCTCCCTGCACACACACCCTGGAGAGACACCTTGATATTTAAGAAATGGGTTAGTTGGAGCTGAAGGTCAAATTCAGGTTAGAGGTCAGGCTGATGCCAAGAGTAAAGGACAGGATGAGAGGACTGCAATGTCTTTCTCTGTGCACCTGTCCTACAGTGTCAGGGAAGAAGGGAAGGAAGAAGAATGAGACCAAGGATGTTGGATGGCCATCACTGAGAAGGCATATTAAACCCTGTCTTCATAACTCAGTCCTTGGCATGGACTTGACACTTGGTAGAGGCTTAGCCGTGGCCTGGACAGAGTTGATAACCCACAGAAGTTGGAAAGCCTGATCCAGAGACAGCTGCAGAAGGACTGTGCTGACCTCTGCCCACCCCCCCCATGCTGCTGCTCAGCCCAGATAAAGACCCCCGCACTTCATGGTATTCAGAACCCAGGCCTGGGGGCTGAAGATCCAGCTCATCACTGAGGTGTAACTTTAACAAAATCACTTACCCTCTCAAAGCCTCATTCTTTGTATAGGATGGAGATAATCTTACCTATCTCATAGGGCAGTGGTGAGGATTGAACAAGCTGATAGGCATAAAGCCCTTAGGAGACTGCTCTTTAAATGAAGGTCTTCTTGGGACCAGCAGTTGGCATAAGGGCTATGTCACTGGACTCCCATATAGTCGACCATGGTTTGAATCCTGGACCTGGTGGCTTAAAATCACGCCAGGAGCGTTTGCGTGTGTGCCCAAGATCCTGAGAGGAGAATGGAGAAGGGATTGCAGCGTGGCCATCCCCCGTGGGGGGTGATTTCTGGCTTTCTGTCTCTCTGTCTCTCTCTGTCTTTCTGGCAAGTGCATGCACCCTATAGCAAAAACCTCTCCACAGCAATAAAATTTAAAAAAATAATAAAATAAAAGTCTTTTTTTTTCTTAACCTACCTATTTCTGTTAAATAGGGATAACAGTAGTGCTACCTCATGGAGTTATGACAATTGAATGAAACAGTGAATGATAAAAGGCATTGTAAATCTCTGTCCAAATAGGATATGCATTCCTATTTGGACCCAACGCTTAGATGCATATCCCATCTATGTTGGAAGCAACTCAACACTGCCTAATTGGGATAGGATGTGAGCCACATATATGATCTAAAATTTTCTAGCAGCCACATTAAAATAAAGTAAAATGAAACAAGCAAGGAGCCACAGATGGTGTGGAGGTTAAGGCAGCTTGATTCCACATGGCTGACTGTACTGTTCCAGTTCTGGACCCAGCAACTTGAAAAACATGCCAGACGCATGTATGCACCCCAAAATCCTGAGAGGAGAATGGAGGACAGGGATTGAGGAGTGACCATTCCCCCTGGAGAGGTGCTTTCCCATTTCCCTCTCTCTTTCCCCGGCAAGCCCAAGCTCATGCACCCTGCTGCAAATTTTAAAAGAAAAAAAAAAAAAAGAAGAAGAAGAAGAAGGAAAAGAAAGGAAACAGGTGAAATTTTGTTCTGATAATACATTCCCACTCCTGTGTGTGAGTGTGGGTGTTGGGGGCTCGGTCCCTAGAGGAGAAAGTCAGGGTAGAACTCTGCAAACTAAGTGTAACTGGCTCTCTACTGGGACCTGCTGAGTCCATTGGCTGACTCAGAATTCCAAGAATACTATGTTGGAAGTCCTGGTGGAGCAGTATTATGTGGAGCAGGGGAAAGAGGAAGTGACAGGTGCCTTTGGGAAAAGAAGAGGAAGGGCAGAAGAACCTTTTGCCTCTCCGTGGGAGCCACAGACCTTGGGAAGCTCCTTCCCACTGGGCCCGTAGAGAGGTGCAGACACCTCAGGG